TTTCTTGTGTTGCGATCATGAACAGCAGATCTTATTACAAAGCATTCACTCTAGTAACTGGGCGCTAGCCCTTTTACACATTTAAAAGCGAGATTGCCTAGCCAGCGTAATTCCTGAAGAACCGGTGTTATGTGGTTAAATTTACATGCCGATGATTCTTGCTGCGAAATTCTGGATTTTTGGCAGCTATGGGATGTTTTCTTAGATGTGTTAGACCATACTGGAGAATAGTAGTGAAATTTTTCTGCTAAACAATAGCCTATTTATCACATTCTCCGATGTCCTGGTGTCGATCGAGATGTCTCACGCTATTTAACTGGCCCAAACTGCCTAAACACAATGAAAGAGTGTTTGTGGCATGTTCATCTAAGCTAAGGGTGGAGTCGGTCCCAGGTCTCGTGAAGACGAGGCCAGAGCACTCAAACCAGGACACTTGGAAGAAGATTGTTCAGTCACAACGTTTCAATGTGATGATGATGATGATGATGATGAAACTTTATTATGGTGTCTAAAGAGGCCTTCTAGCTTCGGTTAAAAACCTATGCTAATTAGGGGACACAAAATAAATAACAATTATTCACCGAAGTGGAGGTGGCTAGTCCTGGATATTTACCGAACTGCGAAGCAGTGAGGTAAATATCCACGACTAGCCACCGACACTGAGGTGAATAATTGTTTTAGTATATACTAAAACAGTGAGATAATTGAGCACAAAAATGACGATTTTTAACTGATCAAATACTGTTGCCAACGATTACAATTTTGGCGCGTAATGACCGGGCGGCCGCGGCCGTCGCTTTTTCTTGCCGACAACTAAAACTTTTGAAGGCATTTGTTTAGCTCTTGCGGGGAAATTTCTACAAAAGGAGTTGTGAATTCTCTTTGTATTTAAAATCATTCTATAAAAAAAGATTATTAAATTTAGTTTTAAGCTTATTTATGAACAACTCAACTAAATAAAGTAAGCAAGACTTCAGCTTAATTTGCATTTGTAAACAAAAAACTTTTCCCCCGTTTTTATCGATAAATTCGTTCAAAAGACAAAGCTTTACCTGTTAAAATTTCCAATCCGAACTTTGTCACCTTCTTCGTGTATTTCGGAAACAGCTGGCTTGATTAGTTGTGAAATTTCTTTGCTTGTTTACGGCAGCAAACCGGGAAGGCATTTTGCTTGCAACTTACGCGAGTTTGCCGTCGCTCGCTCAGAGGAACTGGAGGTGAATCAGTGAATAGTGCAGGATATTCACTGATTGAGTAGCCAATCAGAGCGCGCGAAAAACACTATCCACTGTTTTAGTATATACTAAATAAATATAAATTAAAGTAAAAAAATATTTACATATAAGCTCAGGTATAAAAAAAATTAATGACATTAACAATATTTACAGTATGACAAATATGTCTATGAATTGCAGAGATGACAACACTTGCATACATTATCCATTAGTGTAACTATATCCAATGTACGTATTTGTTTTTGAAACATTTTAAGGCGGTAACTTCTCTCAAGTTGGGGGATAATTCTCCCCAGAGATTGGGCCCCAAGTGGCGGAGGGAGTGCTTGCCATATCTTACTGTGTTGTACCTGGCAGCGGAGAAATCAGACTGCCTTACGTTATACTTGGATCTATGCTTAATAAAAATGTCACTGATATAGGGGGGACACAGATTGTTCTTGGCTTTATACACTAAAACACAAATGTCTTGTAGTCTCCTGTTCTGTAAACTTGGCAGTTCTGCTCTTTTTAGAAGTTCAGGGTAGCTAAGCAAACCTTTTAATTTTACCTGACCTGTCAGGAAACAGCCCTCAAATTTATGAATGTTACTGGTCCGTTTGCAAAGCTTTGGAATCTTTTGCTTCCAGAAAACGTTGTGATTGTACAATCTTCTTCCAACTGTCCCGGCGAGTTTAAGGAGTATCCGCACTGTATAAAAGGGAACTCCGCTTTTGGGCTTGGCAAAATCTATTAATGTAAACTACTTTCTCTCTATTACTCAACAATATTACTGCCCAGTGGCGGATCCAGACCTCCAGATAAGGGGGTGGGGGTTGGGGCCAGATCATCCAGACCCTAAGATAAGGGGGGGGGGGGGGGGGGGGGGCCCCCAAAAAAATTTTTGGGGGGCCTTTTGGCCCCTTTTGGGCCTAAAAAAAAAAAGGGCCCCCCCCCCGGGCCCCCCCCCCTCCCCCAAACAAACCCTGGGGGCTCCCCTTGTACTTGTTCCTTTTGACTTTAGCGCGCCCCCCTACTCAACAATATTACTGCCCAGTGGCGGATCCAGACCTCCAGATAGGGGGGTGGGGGTTGGGGCCAGATCATCCAGACCCTAAGATAAGGGGGGGGGGGGGGGGGGGGGTCTCCCAAAAAAATTTTTGGGGGGCCTTTTGGCCTCATTTTGGTCTAAAAATAAGAGAGGCGCCCTCCCCTGGATCCGCCACTGCTGTCACAACACACCTGGGAGCTACACTTGTAGCTGTTACTCTTGCTATTACGGAGGCTCTCCTAGCCAGGGTACGTATGTCCCTGGTCTGAATTTCAAGACACGTCGTTTCGGTCTTGAAGAGCAAGCCATGCCCCTGTCGGAATTTTAGTTTTGTATTTGAGATTGTTCTTGTCACTTTCGCAGTTTCAACCAATCTTTACGTCAATTGTCTTCATTTCATTTGTCAATGTTTGAAGTTCATGTCCCTTGTCACAATTTTACCCTTACAGAGGAAGAGATGTGTGAGGACCAGTGTGAAATAGGAGGCCAATGTTATTCATATAATGAGGTCAACCCCTGGAATGAGTGTCAGGTAAATATTGCAAATAGCTCTAACAATTATTTCCATCAAAGGGGGGCGATTATTGAAGGAGGCGATTAATCGAGGGACGGTTATTATTCTAGGAAATACGGTATGCGATTTGACAGTCGATTATGACGCGTATCATTGACTTTGTTTGACAGTAACAGTTTCGTTTGTACCGTTCAAATTAAGGTTTCAGAACGTTGTATGATTTTGATTTAAATGAGGCTATTGACGTTTATGATTTTATCACATAAATGTTCTATTGCCGTCGTAAAAGTTTTGAATAGCTTAATACGCCAAAGTTTCAGTTCGTCAAATCGCGAAAATGAAGGTGGTTTGATAGAGTTTTTCAGAGTCAATACCTCCCAAGTTTGAATGTAAACTTCGTTGCCATTAACAAAGATTTGGAAAAATTACCACCAGAGCTGTATTAGATAAAGATGGAAGTTTGAAGATCAGGGTTACAACGACATCGAAGTTGTCATAGCAACAAAACGACGCCTATGCCTATTTTCCTTGCAGCCGTATTTCTCGGTACTGAGAACTGTCCTTCCAAACTCGTTCACGGGAGTTTTCTTTTTCTGATACCTGCCTTGATGTTCGCGAAGTTTAAGCGAAATCTGTATGAGCGTTATGGAGATATTTTAGGATGAAGTTTTAATGGTTGGAACTATTGCAAAAAACTGGACAATCTTGATGTCCGGCCGTTATCTGTAGAAAACGAAGCCCAGTCTTTTTAAAAACGTGTGTGAAAGATCACGGAGATAGCTCTAACCGATTTCTAGAAAAAAAAGGATTTTCCAAATCTTGTTAATTGCGACGTAGTTTATGCTCCAACTTGCGGGGCTTTGACCCTGAAAAACCCTATCGAGCCACCTTAGTTATAGTACGTGATTTTGTTGTTACCAGGTTTTTTGAAAACGCGCCGAGAGCGCACCAGTTGTTGATTAATTTGTAGAGACAAAGATATCCTCGAAGTGAATCAAACAATATGTTACTGATTTAAAATCTCTTCTAAATCTTTCGAAATGAAGGCAGGTATAGAAAAAACTTTCGTGCAAAGTTTGTGCCCGGAAAAAAGGAAAAAATTCCGTAGTGAACTTTGAAAAAAACTCATGCACCGAAAAATTTTCATCCCCCTCCCCGTAAAATAGACTTTGACATCATCTATCTAAAAAAACTAAAATCCTTTCAATTCGCTTAAACCCCTTAAAAATAGTACATGACCTTATCTTAATGAGATTCCTCCGCATTGTATTTATGAAATAAAGCCAAAAGGCTATGACGTCATCGGCGTTTATGTATTCCACACAAAAGTTGATTAAATCCACGCTAAGATTGAAAGATTAAAATCTTTCAGAGGTCCCCACCATATTACTGAAATGATTATCGATTTCGCAACAACGTTGTTTTGGCTTCTTTGTGACTTAAATGAGACATTTGTTACTTGGTTTGTAATTAAAAGTTCATAAAAACTAGCGTTTCTCTCTTGTAATGCGCCGAGGCTTGGTAAGCATGTCCCGCCGTAAAGCCATTGCTATTTGCGAGCATGCCAAATTTGTAATTTTTTTTTTCTGAAAAGCAAAAAATGTAGTGAGTGTAAAAAATAGATTGTTATCTATGAAGTGTTATCATTGTCTTGTGTGCTGTGAAAGAAATTAATCACGCATCCCTTAGGTCCTATAATTAACAATTATTCGCCGAGGGCGAAGTTAATATTTTTGGTTGAATCTCGGGGATTATTCAACAACATTTACTGAGCCTGAGGCGAATAATTGTTTTAGTATATTCACACGAAGTGATCTCAACAGAATCAGAAAGGAAACTATTAAAAAACGATTAGTTTGATTGACGGGTGAATTCATGCGTGAACACGAAGTCGTAAACCGAGTGGATGCGCAAAAGTTAGATCTTTGTTTTAATCTTTTTATATCGAGTTTTGTAAGCTTTATGTAGCGGTCACATCGAAGCTTCAACATGCCCCCCCCCCCGGGCAACCCCCCGGGCATTTGACTTTTTTGATAATTATTGTTCAAATTTCCCCCTACCCGGGCCAAAATGCCGGTCAAATGCCCCACACTAGGGTCCATTCAGGTGATCAAATGCCCCCACCCCGGGGACATTTCACAGGCACAAAAATGACAGAAAGATGGTGTAAACGCCGTTAGTTGTCGAACAAAATCTTTATAAATATAACAAAAACTGAGAAACAGTGTTAGCGTATTTACTACGAAAAAAAGCCTCGTGCAAAGCGGCTGAAATCGCTGCTACAAGGTAACTGAATACTCAGCTTTTTTTCGTCATGCAACGTACAAAGCGTTCTATAAAAAAAGATCTCACGTATTGAGATTACTACATCACGACCATTTCACTGACATGCATCATCGCTCACCTTATTAATTAACATACTTACAGTAGGTCAAAGTAGTTGACCTGAGCTTTTTTATTTTATTTTATGTTGTTGTATTGAATCGCTGGTATAGGTATTGTATTTCATTGTAAACACAACAATAAAATACATTCATACATTCAAAGCCTGAATCCAGTATTAAAAATTTTAAAATTTAAATACTTCAAATACGGCACAAAGCTTGTTTAAGCCCTTCCCTCGTAACCAACTGGCCACAAAGGCACAATCTTTTCCACGAAAATCCTCTAACACCGCGTCCTCCATGATAGCTCGCCACGCCAAAGATTTTACATCAAATCGAGGGTGCAGTTCAAATCCCCCACCCCTAAAGGATGGGGATCAAATTCCCCACCCCCTGGAAGACTCTGATAATCAAATTCCCTCCTCCCCGGGACGGCAAAGGTGTCAAATGCCCAGGGTATGCCCGGGGGGGGGGGCATGTTGAAGCTTCGATTTGACCGACACATTAGCATAAACGGTTTAAAAGAAAACGCCGAAAATTTAAATTACTATCCAATTCTGAGAAGAAAAGTAGAGCTTTATTTGTTTCTGTCTACTCGTGAATGAGAAAGTTTTCTTTGTCGCTTCTTGCAAATGCTGTCAACAGCGGCTACGATCAAGGTGAGCGTTTTTTATCTCCAGTGTTCTTTACCTTGTTAACTTGCTGGCAGGTACAACTTTCCAACATATTTGCCTTCCTCTTTTCTCCATAAATTAACTTCTATTTACACAAACAAAAGTCAGGCCGACCACCCTCTGTTGGTGGTGGCCGTTGTTGATTGAAATCTGAGCAACGATCTTTTGTTATTTATAGAAGAAATACATATGAACAATACGGTGGTTATAATTTGTTCCAAAATGCTTTAAAGCAAAATGGTAACTGAGTCATGTGTCATGATTTTTTCGCTGTCCCGTGCTAATTTAAGCGCTATTTTGCGCGATGAATATTTGACCTCGGCGGTTAGAACTAAAGAATGAGACAAGGCAGGTAGGAATCAGCCTCCCGGCCGGCGCTTGACCCAGTTCAATTTAAGCTGGAACTGACGCTATTTAATTTCTTACCTCAAAAAAACCGGCTCCCGATCCACTAGATATTTATCCATGCCCCATCCGAATGAGAGCTCAGTCCTTCCAAAATTTCCCCAGAAAAGCGATCCTGAAGTTGCAAGAACAGCTTTCTCAACATGACCTGTGCAAAAATCTCAACCAAAGGCATTTGAGGTATGCGCGTCGATTCAAATCCACCAATCAGCGTATCGCGACCAAACAAACACCCCTGTGCGGGGCAGGGTTGTGGTTTTGAACTGACAACGGTCGCCATACGCTGATTGGTGAATTTGAATCGACTAAGAGGCCATGAGGGCGAAAGGAATAATTGTTTTAGTAAAATCCAACTAGTTGTCAAAAATATCGAGAATAAAAAAATTTAGCTAGTTAAAGCCAGACTTTAATCCTTTTTTGCCGCCAAAAAGCCCTCGCTTTTCGCTACCAGGGGGCTGTAACATATAGCCTAGTAGTAGCTCAACCTATCAGAACGCAGCATTGACAATAGACCACTAGTTGGATTTTACTAAAACGTCATAGTTTGAGATAGCTAACCAAGCAGATTCCTTGAATTACCAAGATCACTGAGTGTGTATATACTAAAACTGATTATTATCCCACTTTTTCTACCTAGCTATGTTATTGGCCATGGACAAGTGAATGGTCAAACGACGACTCCCTTTCTTGCAGTGATGGTGAAGTTTGCACCAGAAATGACCGCTGCCTCAATGGCAGATGTATTGATACACCACTCAGGTGCCTTTCATGTGAATATTGTTACAATGACGAATGTCGAGCGGGATATGGATATTGTGCGATCGATGGGTCTTGCTACAGCCATGGGGATCGGAGCCCATACTCTCAATGCAAGGTTTCTACCTAACATTAGCATCAATAGCTTAGTATGCTTTAAGCTTATATATGAATATTATCATATCATGACTTTAAACCAGCTTTTTTAAGTATTAAATTTAGGTATTGATCAATATCTTTGCAAAGAGATGTGGTGGGGGGTTCGGTGATGTAGTTTGGGTAAAAATTCTTTAATATAACACTACATAGCTAAATGCATGGACAGTTTTTCCGTTCTGTCATTCCGGGATAATTTTCGCTGAAATCACCTTAAAACATATTCCCTCCCTCAAAGGTTAAATGGATGATTCTTATAGTTAAGTTTATATTAGCGGATTTCTTTGGTTTAACTTTTATTAGTTTAAGTAAATTATAATTATATGAATAGAGGCGTCGCTTCTAAGTGTTGTGAAATCTGTATATTCTTGCCTAATGTGCTGTAAAGAAATTCAGTCACGCATCTCTGAGCCGTCTTTAAAAATCAAATATTACAGTGGAATCTTTCCTTTAGAAGCCCATGAAAGTAAAAGCTCAGAAGGATCAATAGTTCTATAGTTTGAATTTTGATGACGTCATGTGAAAAACAGTAATTGTAAGGAGACCATAGCCTCCATAGTCTGGGGACACAAAATTTGGTACCGAAAAAATGTTTACATAATCTTCAGTGGAAAGGGACACTTTTTCTGACAGTTTTCACAGCATGAACTATTTCACTTTAATTGATATACTGCAGTTAACTTGTGGGAATTCACTCACAATGTCGCATAGAAAAGTAAGTTATGATTGTTTTAAGCACCACATCAATTAATTTATTAACAACCAACCCACCACTTGCCACCTGTGTCCCCTGAATAGAGGTTCCAATGAATAACTATAATTTTGTTGCCCAGAAATGTGATAGCCGATACAAGACATCGTGGACAAACGACGATTCCCGTTCCTGCAGTGACGGTATTGCTTGCACCAGAAGTGACCGCTGCTCCAGTGGCAGATGTATTGGTACACCATTCACGTGCCTTTTTTGTGAATATTGTTACAATGACGCCTGTCGTGTGAGACCCGGATATTGCGCGATCTTTGTGGGAGGCTACTGGAGTAGCAGCAAAAAAAAATGCTTCACCCGTCGAACTCGTAGGCCAAGCTATCCATGCCAGGTCACTACCTAACATTAAAATATCTAGAATAACTTAGTGTCCTAAAAGTTAATATATGAAGTACAAGATAACCTCACAATTTACTTTTTTTTCTAGATATTTACTTTACTTTACACACACGAGTTACCATGTCTTGTCGTAGTAATCTTAAGCAATTTACAATTCTCCTCCAGCAACTATTCTCGGTTCAACGAGCTTTCCTAGCTTTCAGAACAATCACGTGCAGCACTTTTTTCACGTGTAAATGTCTTTATAATCGAGGTGGCCTCTTTATAATCCTGGTATTAGCCTCCCACACAGGCGTTTTTAGGGGAGCTCGTCTTTCATCCCTCCCTCCTTTGTGGGGAGGGATGAAAGAGGAGCTCCCCTAAAAACGCCTGTGTGGGAGGCTGGTACTGTATTGAAACAAGGCAAATAAATAAATGACGTTAATGATGATGACGACAACGATGATGATGATGAAAAAATTGCACAAAGCCGATGTTACCACGGTAAACTCTACAAAATTTCAAACATTTTCAGACATGGCAAATCATCGTGTCAATCGTTTCCCAAACTGGCGTCAAGTTTAATTTTATAAATATACGGCCAGAAAGCGAACAAATAAGATACCTAAAATACCAAAATCACTGATTGTGATCCATTACACAGCAAATTATAAGATCACAATTGGATAGTTTAACCTATAAATTATCATTCAAGGAAATATTTTTGGTAGTGCATGACACTTTAAAAGTGAATAAAGTAGTGTAATTGTCACGTGATGGTTTTATGAACTAAAAGGTGGCAGATTAAAATGCCTCTGAGGGTATTGCTTTCCCTCTTGGAACGTATGCTAGTTCATTACAAGGCTACCCGAGCAGCATGTCGCCGGTACCTATTTATACATCTGCTTGGAAAAACACATAAAGGAGCAAAGAGTCTTGTCTAAGGAAACATGGCGACAGCTGCATGCAAAGCTTGAATTCTGACCGACTCGAAGTTCAAGACTTTAATGTTTTATCGGTCGGCCACAACGACTTCACATAATGAACACTTTTAGACTATATCCACACATGTCCGGATATTATCAAAACCCATACTTTTTTACTCGAATCGATCGGCTCTTCGTCCACACGAAACCCGTGAATCCAGTCACTGAAACTGCACTTAATAGCGGCGTAAGCCCCCGTCCACACGAATCCGCTTAAAAATAATTGGGTTTTTCAAGAATGTTTGGATTCGTTTGGACATGGCCTTAAACTATGCGGGCATTGATGTGATCAGGGAAAGTTCTAAAATAGAAGACTTGATGTATTTGTTAGTCCGTGTGTTTATTCATTTATTTGGCTAGTTCCATTTTTATTAATCACCTAATTGAAACATTTGTACAGAATGCCCACGATTTTCCTTTAGGAATGTGATAGCAACAATCCACGTCGATGGACCATAAACAACAACTTGCGATGCAGTGACTATAACAGAAGGACCAAGGACGACCGTTGTCGTAATGGATATTGCAGAGGAACACCTTACAACTGTCTTTCATGTGAGCAACATGATGGAAGTGGCTGTCCAATAAGACCAGGGTTCTGCATCATACTGAAGGGAAACCAAAGAAGGTGTTATGCTAAGAATCAGTATAAACCAGGAAATCGTTGTCAGGTAGGCTGTAAAATATGGATTCAGTTAGGGTTACAGGTATATCCAGTTCAAAGTATTAGCTGTCGATAATTATAGTTACTCCTCTACCGGTCAATAGAGATTTTTGCTTACAGTCCAGTTTCCGCTAACGCACACCTCGCCTCTCCTTAGCGAATACTTTGTCTGGTCCCAAGGGTTTATCTTAAATTGAGACATTTATATTTAGATGTTTACCGTAAATCCACTAATAAGCCCCTCCCCTTTTCAAAGTTCCTTGACATTAATAAGCCCCCAGGTGCCTTGATAGAGGATTTGCGCTTATCAAACTGCTGCAGCAAGTCAAAAAATATTCAAGTCAGTGTTCTTATTCAAAAACCCTTGGAATATCGATAGCCCTTGTTTTGATAGCTTATTTGGTCCTAATAGAATTAAAACTATAGCATTAACTATTAACAATTTTTACCCTCAAGTGGTGTGACCCAGGAAAAAGCACTAGTACGTGGACAAATCGCGAAGGAGTGGCTTGTGATGATGGTGACAAGTGCACATGGGGTGACACGTGTCGCAGAGGCCAATGCATCGCGACGCCATTCACATGCAATTCAGTGTGCCAGTACTGCAATGGCTATAACTGCAGTCTGAAAACAGGATATGGATTCGTAAACGACAGGTGCACTTGTAAACTCGCAGGTAGATGTAACTAAGTAACTTCAGTCAGAATGAACAATACTTTAGGCTCAAATTTCCACCTCTTTCTCGTTCCCCCTCGAGAAGAGACGGCTGGACGAGTGAGTGGCCGATCCTGTCTGTGACGTAAATTTAAAATTTAATTTATGCGTCGTTACGAAACAATAGAAACGGAAAATGTCATCACACACTGAACACTTGTTGTCGTTTTTGCCTTTTTGTCGCGTTGTTCTTCGCCAATAAACTCAGAAGCAATGCCTACTATTTCATGCGAAAGCGAATTTAGGCGTGAAATTACAACAGAAATGGACTTGAAAGTCGTCTCTTTCACGATGGCTTACAACAAACATCGATCGGTAGAGAATGAAAAATAATTGAGAATCTAGGATAAGAGTTAGTTAAACAATTTGGTAAGTCGTTTATGTATAGCTAAAACAATAGAGGACCCAATATAGTCCCTTGAGGGATACCACATTGGAGAGAGCAGGTTTTGGAAAGTAAACCACTAAGAGAACATATTTGAGTTCGGTTTTCTAAATATGATTTAAACCAATTGCAAGCATTTTCTTGAATTCCGTAGGTGATTAATTTAGACAGTAATATCGTGTGGTCTGCTGTATCAAAGGCCTTTTTTAAATCTAGAAATACTACAGCATTAATGTTCCACGATCAGTATCAAAAGCCCAGCTATCGGTCGCCTCTAGTAGAGCAGTGACCGTAGAATAGAGAGAGCGAAATCCGGATTGACTTTTTGAAATAATGCTATGTTCTGATAGGTTCACATATACTTGATCGTACGTTATTCTTTCGAATACCTTGGCCACCACAGAGATAACAGAAATGGGACGGTAATTGTTCATATCACTCGAACTTCCCTGTTTGAATAAAGGAGTAACTTTAGCACATTTCCAGTCATCTTGGAATATGCCTGTAGTCAAAGAATAATTAAAGATCTTGCAAACAGAAATCAAAATTAAATCAGCACATTCACGAATTAGTCTCGCAGATATTTTATCGCGACCGGTTGCTTTTGACATGCTAAGTTTATTCAATAGTGAAAACACTTGACTGCAATTTGTCGGAGTAAAACAGAATCTTTGGTCAGTGATGATAAGATATTCAAGACAACTTTTGTTGCCGTTAGCTGCCGACGGGATCTCATTAGCAAGTTTCGGGCCGATTGTGGAAAAATGTTCATTAAACGCATTTGCTAAATCGGGAGTTTTGTTTATAGAAACAACGTTTACAATTAGTTCTTTAATAGAGGAGGTGTTATTTTTGCGAGATGTAAGTTCGTTTACAGTTTGCCAGGTGCGTCGAGAGTCATTTTTGTGTTCATTAAGTGATTATAATAAGATTCCTTTGCGATCTTGATGTTACTGTTAACTTTGTTGCGAAGTCGTTTAAGTTTACCCCAATCCTGTGGGTTCTTTGAACGTATTGCTTTCAACTTCATGATGTCTCGTTCATGCATACTTTTTTCAACTCTGAAGAAATCCAAGGAGATCTTTTTGAACGGACCCGCTTTGTTCGTAAAGGAGCATGAGTGTTAACAACATTTAAGAACTTAATTTTCCACTCACGCCACAAATCATTTGGGTCTTGAAAATTGTTTAAGACATTCCAGTTTTGAGAAGCAATGTGGCTGCGAAAAAGGTCACGATTGAAATTTTTAAAACTTTTGTAGTTAATAGTATTGTGTTTTTTGTAAACGGCTTCAATCGACAGCTTTTGATAAGCAAAAACGAGACTATGGTCACTGATGCTGACATGACAAACTCCACAGCACACTACTTTATCGGGATAGTATATATCAGATCTATTAGAGTAGATGTTGTGTCAGTGACGCGCGTAAGCTCGTTTATCAGCTGGTGAAGGCCATACAGGTCAGTGATATCCAACAACAACCGAAAATTAGTGTCATACATTGAAGCCATGTTGCAATTCAAATATCCCATTAAATAGAATTCGACACTTTCGGAATCAAGGCGTCTAATAAGAATTTCTAGAGATGAGAATACTTTATTGGAAGAATTAGGTGGCCTGTACCACGTGACAATAACAAACGGTTTTGAATTCGGTTGCAGCTCGTAGTGGAGCTTTCTCTGTGAATGATTTTAGGGTGATAAGAAATAGTTTTTTACCCGATACTTAGTAGTACCAATTAGTTTATTTCATGTTTGTGGAAGCTCATTTTCAGTATATAGCTTATAAAAGCGTAGTCCGCGCCCAGGTTGAGTACTGCTTAAGTGTTTGGGACCCCCACCCTGGCTTTGAGAATACCGGTTCATATAAGATCGAAAGGATACAGCATAGCGCGTATCGATGGCGCCTGCGCCGATACAACAACACATCTAGCATCACAAACATGCTTGAAGACCTGGGATGGCGTACCCCAGAGCAACGTTGGACTTACAGTCGGCTCACGGCCCTCCTTAAGATCACACGGGGGTCCTCGCTGTTAAGTCTCACGCGCTTCTGCGCTCTGTCATGCGCAGGCCACGTCGCTAGCATTAGGAGAGTTTCATCCCGCTTGAAACTAGCCTGTCCTCTGAGTATCTATCCTTTTTCTCAAGAACATTTATTTAGTGGAAGAATTTACCTGCTTCCGTCTTTAGCAAACAATGCCCTTTAAATACTTTCAAAGCCCATGTAAGCTGCCTAAATCATCTACCTGTTTATTATTTTGTTTTGCTGACCAACCCAGTCAATAATCCTCAAATGTGATGGCTAGGCTGTACACGGTGAATGTAAACGTTTGATTGTACAAAGTGAAAAAACATTGTATTTGAACAGAAAATACCACTTAAATCTATCACTGCTGATGGCGATCATTAAGCCAAATACGTGTAATAAGGTATATTTTTGCTACAGGCAAGGACTATGGCCGCCAGACATTAAATCCGTCGAACCAGTGTCAGTGGTGTGACCTGTATGACTCAACCGCTCGTGCTAACAGTGTCTGGTCAGATCGCCCTGCAGTAGCTTGTGACGATCAAGATGCATGCACCAAGCAGGACACTTGTAATGCGGGCAGGTATGTACAAGTAAGCGCATGTACTCGTGGGTTCATGGGTGGTCTACTATTTAACCAACATATTTTACCTGTAGTTTTTCTCTAGTTATAGATCAGAGATGACACAAAATCGTAGATCATAGGAAGCGACCAATTACAGCCTCCGTAGTTTTCAGTACGTTGTGTAGAGGACGGTGCACATGGTACTGTACCTAAAAACTGCCATAAAGTTTTAAACTGGCTGAATAATACACTTGTTTTTGGAACTTTTTCTGAAGCGTCAGTGTTCACATTGCTGTCAGTTATTAATTCTCTTTAAGAACGCTTGTGGAAGCAAAACATTCGATATAGCTTCAGTTTTTATTTCATTCGTCATCCTATCTTTGCAGTTACTTCAATAGTGAGTGGTAACAAATTTACGAGTAAATTTGTGTCAATGATTTTTAAGGCAGCCATTTCCCGAGATTATCGTACGGCGTAAGTTACATTGTAAGTTACAATGTATCTTAAAACTTCAGGTGTCTTGGTCAAGGATACTCTTGTCAATCTTCTTTCCCATCCCCGAGTTGTATCCAGACGTCTGTGTGTGTTGGTGATGGTACATGCCGCTTTACAATGAAGTCAAATGGAACAGTATGTCGAGCAGCTACGGACAATTGTGACACACCGGAGAGGTAGGACTTCAAATTGGATTATCTCAATTTCATCAAAACATCTCACAGATATACTTATCCTTAGAGCCAAGTTCCCATTTTCGTTGCAAACATTTCTAATGCAACCTACCTATGCCAGACAAATTGGCGGTGATAAAATGGTCAACTCAGGTTTGCTGAAGGGTTAACCAGTAGACTGGGGCTTCATATCGGGAACATTGGTTCAATGAAGTGGCGGTTTATTAAACCTGTCCTGAGGTTTTACAACCTTTTAAGTTAATTGCTGATTTATGTTTGATAAAGGTGTAATGGTGTCCTTATGACCTGTCCTGAAGCAGTGACCGATAGCATCGAGTTAAAAGCCGGCCAAGTGCAGTTCATGGACTCAAGGTTTCACTCAATCGTCACTCACCAGTACTTTACTGACAGGGTGTATTTGAAGCTCTCTGGATTCTCTGTGTCTTGTGGAAAGATTCATTTTACATGGTTCCTTCTTTCTGGAATGTCGTCTTGTTCTTTAAATTCGTCCTTTAGTGGCTCTTTACCGGGCACCAGCAGATATCACACTATTACTGGATTGACAATGGAAGATTACAAAAACTACAAATTTGCCGTGAAAGCGTCTGACATGCGACTGCAGGTATATAAAGTAGTCTGCAGTGATTTAATAGTCATAGATACATCAAAGCCGCACGATGGGTGGATTCGGGATGGGTCTGCGAGTGACCTGAGTTACCAAGCTTCCAAATTATTGCAGGTAAACTGGGGTGGAGTACTAACAAGACACGGTGTTGGCAATTACGATTGGAAAGTTCTCCTAACCCCTTTCAACACAAATCAGACCATGGAACTTATGCCCTTTACGAATGTATATCGGAACACTAGCGCACAAAAAACATTCAACAACATCACAGACGGTTCAAAAGTAAAATTCGTTGTTCGAGCTTACACCAAAGCGGGACTGTTTTCAGACCTCACGAGTAACGGCGTTGTCATCGACACGTCAGCACCTGTTGCAGGAAAAATCTTTGATGGTAATCAAGTTGGCTTAGATTTAAAATTTGCTCAATGGTCGAATACCTTCAATACAAACTGGGACCGCTTTATTGATCCCCATTCTCCCATTTCGCGTTACACTTGGGCGTTGCAGCGACTAGGCACTGGATTAATTACCTCTTTTAAGGCTACAGCACTTAACCGCGCTCCTGCAGCAACTAACCTTAACCTAGTATCCGGCGAGAGCTACTGCGCAGTTGTCAGAGGCTATAACGAGGCTGGTCTTTACACCCAAGTCAACTCAGATTGTGTGTTGATAGACCACGATGTACCGCTACCTGGCACTGTAAATGATGGACACTTCCATGATGTAGACTACCAATCGGAGGACACCATGATAGCAGCTAATTGGCATGGTTTCACTGATGGGAGTAAAGGAAGTGGAATTGTGGAGTACAGATGCAAAGTCACAGAAGACGGTGGAGCTATAATTGTTCCCTGGACATCTGCCGGCAATGCCACTAACATAATGCTTAACGGCTTAGTTCTTAAGAACAACACAAAGTACTTCGTTACCGTTAAAGCAGTCGATGCAGTGGGACTTAGCACTGACATCACTACGGATGGTGTTACTTTAGACACAACACATCCTGTTTTCACAGGAAAAGTGATCGTAACCGGAGGGGATGACGTGATAAATGGAACTCCTTGCGTTTACATTTCAAGTGTATCCTCAGTAACTGTGCAGTGGAATGGTTTCTCTGACGCGCACAGTGGACTTCAGCGATATGAATGGGCGATTATCCCCTCAGACAAGTCTATCTCAGACTCTGACTTCAAAGAAGTATCTGGATCCAGTATTCCGACATTTGCAACATTTTACAATCTAGCGCTTATCCAAGGAAAGGGGTATTATGTCATCATACGAGCCTATAATGGCGCCAAGCTATATAAAGACGCGTTCTCAGTCGTTGTGATCCCCGACTACACCCCTCCATCCCCTGGAGAGGTGTTCGACGGACCAACATTCAAAGTAGATATTGACTATCAGGCTGAGATTCAACATGTTTATGGGTCTTGGTCAAGTTTCTCTGAGCCTCACAGTGCAGTGAAGCAGTACTACTATGCCGTAGGAAGCTGTATATTTGGTAACAATCATATTACAGGAAACGGATTCACTCAAACCGACCCTCCAAGGGCTTCTTCATTTTTGATTTCAAACGTTTCACTTGTTAATGGCCAGCGATATTGCATCAAGATTAAGGCTGAAAACAAAGCTGGGCTGATGAGTTACGAAGTATCATCAAATGGTTTTGTCGTTGACGTAACACCTCCAAACACTCGGAAAGCTCAAGTGCGTGACGGAATCACGGGTGCGGATATAGATTATCAAGCTAATACCACAGCAATGTCAGCTGAATGGGATGGTTTTGCTGACCTTGAGTCTCAAATCCAATATTATGAATATGGAGTAAGCAGAAATCGTGCTGGCACGCCTAATGTTTATCCATTAACAACTAATGGCCTTAACACTTCAGCAACTGCAGGTGGCTTATCGCTGACTGATGATGTCTACTACTTCATAGTTTGTGCTGTAAACAATGCGGGGTTACGCAGTTGCATCAGCTCTGATGGAGTACTTATCGATTTGACTCCTCCAAGCCATGGTGTAGTGCACGACGGCATCATCGAGCCAGATCTGCAGTATCAGTCCTCTCTATCAAATATGGCTGCCAACTGGGAAGGAATCTGGGACTTGGAGAGTGGTATTGAGAAGTTTGAGTGGAGTATTGGAAATAGTGCAAATGATAAGAGCAGTGTTCAAGATTACGTCGATGTTGGTCTCTCTACTCACGTTAGAAGTCCATCAGCTCTTAACTTATCAAGTGGGACAAAGTATTTTGTTCATCTTAAGGTAATCAATCAAGCAGGAGCGGTCAGAGAACTTATTTCAGACGGTGTGATTGCAGATGGGACGCCACCAATACCAAGCAAAATCTATCCAGGATTTGGGCCCCAAGATGAATGGATATACAGTGAAGAAGAGAATGCCTTCTACTCTGCTTCTGGCTCAAGCATCGCTATATACTGGGACCAGTTCTCGGAGCCTGAAAGTGAGGTTTGGTACTACAAATGGGCAATAGGTACAAGCAAATGCGGCACTCAAGTTCAACCACTTATTAACATAGGCCGGTCAAACTACGCCAACACCACGACGACAAACCTCTTTTTTAGGCCCGGCGTGAGATATTACGCCAGCGTGATGTCAAGAAACAAAGCTGGCCTAGTGTCGAGGGCTTGCTCTGATGCGCTTGTCTTTGATAACAGTCCACCGCTTCCAGGAATTATTCACATAAAACAACCGCCAGGAAGCAATATAACTAAGACTTTCATTGCTAACAACAGTGCGGCTATTTATTGGGAAGGATTTAGTGACCCAGAGAGTGAGATACAACTATGCAATATTTCAATCATTGACCAAGCTGGCGACATTAAGTTCGTAGAAACCACCAATTCATCTTCTGGGTTTATCATGATACCTGACAACGTCCTCTTCGTAGATGGACAATACAATATTAGCGCATATTGTATCAATAATGCAAATCTTGCTTGCTTGTCAAGCTCAGTATTTATCGTTGATAACACGCCACCAGCTCAGTCTGGTCCTGTTGTAACGGGCATATCATTCGATGGCGCTTTACATTATCAGTCTGATGATAAATCTATTAAAGGATCCTGGCCACCGTTCACGGACCCTGAAAGCGGTATAGAAAGATATTATGTGGCAATTGGTTCACAACCTTACCAAGGCGATATCATTGGTTTTGAAAACGTGTACCTCGCTACTCGCATAAACAAGACCGACGTTACTCTTTCTCAAGGTGCCATATGCTACATCACAGTTGTAGCAGTAAATCGTGCTGGATTGAGCACGAACGTATCATCTCTTGGCCTTTTGATAGACAAAACGCCCCCTCTTGTCGACAATGCTTATATCATAGATGGTATGCGTGGTGCAGATATCGACTTTATCTCTCCTGATACTGTACTATCAGCCCACTGGGAAAAGATAGCAGATCTCGAAAGCGGTATTATGCAAAGTCGGTATTGTGTTGGAACCAAACCACTTGGTTGCCAAATAAAACCAATGACCAGTGTCGGTAGAAATTTGTCTTTCACTTGTCCAGATTGCATCATTCAAGAGGGGATGAGATTGTATGTAACAGTGCAGGTGACAAATGGTGCTGGTCTAAGTGAGACACGACACTCTGATGGAATGTTTTTGGATGTTAGTCCTCCGCTAATGGGCGATGTTCATGATGGAAGTCATGTAACTGGAATGGACTACAATGTAGTTCTTGAGCAGTGGAATATTTCTATGACTTGGTTTGGAGTGGAAGATGATGAAAGTGGCATACGATCTTGCAAATGGACCATTGAAAGTAACAGTGGGAGCATATTTCATACAGATGACATAAGCAATAACACCATTTATGAAGAACGAAATCTATTCTTACTCAACCAGACATACAAAACTCTCCTTGTCATTCCTAACGCGACTTATTTCAATGTATTGACCTGCATCAACAGAGCAGGTTTACATTCCACCGTGCGCTCTAATGGTTTCCAAGTAAGGACCATTTGGCCTATCCCAGCTGTTGTAAGAGTTGGTGCAACCCAAGGCAAAGACGCAGCTTATGTAACAAGTTACAAAATCATAAATACCAACTGGGATCCATTTTTTGACGATGAAAGCGATCCTGTTGTCGACTACGAGTTAGCTGTCGGGACAGTAACAGACAAGGAGAGCGTCCTTGGCTTCACTAGTGTAGGGTTGGGGAGGATTGTTGAAATAGACTTGGCTCCAGGCATTCCAGATCTTGAAGTCCTAGAGACTGGTGTGACGTATTACACCACCATAAAAGCGACTTCTTTGCGTGGTCTCAGTTCTATAAAGCGCTCCACTGGCTTTACTGTAGACCCTAGCCCGCCAATGCAAACGGAACTTTTAGTGTCACACAAAGTTATAGATCAGATTGCACGAACAGTTAAAATAAGAGTTTCTTGGAATAGTGTCAGGGATAGGGAAAGTGGCATTAGTAACAGTGCGTATTGTCTAGGTACAACACCTGGCAGGTGCCAAAGGGCCTCTATTCCAGCGGGTCTTTCTACCTTTGGAACTATTGGCCCCTTTAGGCCTCGTCCATGGGTTCATTATTTCGTCATTGTCGTGGTAACTAATGGAGCTGGTTTGATTACAGTGATGTCCTCCAGGAAGTTATTATTTGACACCACTCCCCCATCCAAGGGTATTGTTATCGATGGTATCGGCCCTGACATTGATTACATGAATTATACGAGCTCTTTGTCGATTCAGTGGAAAGGGATTGATGACCAAGAGTCAGGTATTGCAAATTGTTCATGGACTCTCATTGAACAGTCTGCTTCTGATAACAGAACTGCATTTGAAAATGATACTGTTGTGTTAACACAACCCGTGGAAAGCAAAGGAAGCCTCACACGTGAGAATCTCAGTCTGATACCAGGCGCCCGTTACGTCAGCAAAATCGCGTGCTCCAATAATGACGGTTTTATCTCCACGTCCTTCTCTGATGGTGTTGTTGTAGACGTTACTTCGCCAAGTGCTGTTCTTGTGCGAGACGGTTCATCTCTATCAACTGACGTGGAATATCAGTCATCGACAACGGTAGTAGAGGCAATATGGAGTCCCTTTGAGGATCATGAAAGTGGGATCAGGGAATACAGGTGGGGCTTAGGGACAATGCCTGATGATGTTAGCATCGTAAAATTTACTTCTACTGGAAAGGACACAACGGGAAGAGCAAGGAACGTCACTCTTTCCCATGGCGTAAGGTATTACGTTACTGTGGAAGCTACAAATGGTGCCGGGATGACGTCACATGGTTGGTCTAGTGGGTTTACTGTTGATGTAACTCCTCCTGAGATCACTGAGGTAAATAAAACTCAGAAATATATTTTTACTACATATAGGGGCAAAACAAATCGAACATATTGAAAACAATGATTATTCTAACTAATACTAAAATCAAACCTATGCCCGGCGGAACTACCTTTGCTGACCAGTAATAACATTTGTGCCTGTTTATTATGCAGGAATCAGCTGGTTCAGAACTTTGGATTGGTCCAACAGATCATCTGCACGCTACGTGGAAGGCGCAAGATCTCGAAAGTGATATTAGCAAGACCGAGTATTGCGTTGGAACGTTACCAGTCGGATGTCAAATAAAGTCCATGACCGAAGTATTTCCGAACTCAACAGAAGTATCTTGCAAAGACTGCCGCCTTAATCATTATGGGACGTACTTTGTCAGCATTAGAGTAACTAATGGTGCCGGGCTTTCTACTGTGACAGCAATAAACGAAACGAAAGTTGATATGACTGCCCCTGTCCTCTATGATTTAGTTCCCCAGTTTGGCTTTATTTCTTGCATTTCGAGTTGTAACTTGGTTGTAAATATTACTGGTGTCCGAGACGAAGAAAGTGGTGTCCGATCCTGCAGCTATGCCGTCAAAAACAGTAGTTGTACGATAACGGACTTTGTTGATATTGGACTGAACACAACCTTGGAAGCTACAGATCTAGAGCTGATGAATGGGCAACAGTATTACACTGTGGTGAGATGTGAAAACAATGTTGGACTTACCACTGAGAGAGTCTCTTCTCCAGTTGTTGTTGACAACACACCTCCTTCAAAGGTATGGAATCTTCCTCACATTTGAAAAAGTTATATTTTATCGATTAGCGGAAAAGAAAATAAAGTGATTGTTACTGTGCACCTAATTTCAGTTTAGGCTTCTTGCCTGATGGAGGCGGAAAAATAAACTGCCATTGAAAAACACGTAGTAATCCTTCATGTTGTACCAGTTTGTCCCAAATGGTTAACACGTCGTCGGGTTTGAGTTATTTCACTACTTCAAGTTTTTTAGCGTCCCTGGTCAGTTTCTTAACGTCTTGCTAGTATTTTATAGGATTCATCGCTCTTAAAACCCGCCAATAAAGGAAGAAAGGCGATATATGGAAAGTTTTATCGTTTTAGGCCCGTTTCAAACGTCGTGCTACTGCCGTGCCGCACTCAATTGATCGAATTAAATTCGTCTTAAGCACGGCAGTAGTGCGACGTTTGAAACCAAGTCGTGCTACCGCAGTGCCGAACTCAATTCATAAATTATAAATACGTTAGAATACATTTAAAAGTTTGCTAAACCGTTTCTTTATTTTTGTGGTTTGTTTTCGGCAACAGCCGTTCTATTCGACTGAATTAAATTCGACGTCTGAAACTAAGAAGTCGTGCTAGTGTCGTGCTGCAGTCGAGCTACAGTCGAGCCAGCTTAGCACGGCAGTAGCATGACGTTTGAAACAGGCCTTAGAGTGTCAAAATAGCAACCAGGAAGTAAGTGAAATATCCTGTAGACCATAGAAACCTTGAATAAAATGAGTGAACAAGGCTTCAATCTTTTTTAGCATATACTAAAACAGTGGATAGTGTTTTTCGCGCGCTCTGATTGGCTACTCAATCAGGGAATATCCTGCACTCTAAGATCTGAACTTCGATTCTGATTGGTTGAAGCAAATTTACCTCGCGGCGCAGACCTATCAGAAGCTCTACCCAGGTCTGGGTGGTGAGTTTTCATTCGAGTATGGAACTTCAGCTGCAGTTATTGGCGTTCCACAGACGTCATTTCGCGGGGAAAAGAGTGGTGGCATCTCGAAATGTCAGCTGTTTTCTCAGGCTAACGTGTTTGCTTTAATGTTCCTTCCCATTTATCCTTCTATCATGACCTCCAAACTTATTGTACATTGCACCCAAATAAGAGACAAAAAGGGACCCACACACTTTACCTCAATTTTACAGGGCTCGGTGATTGTGAGTGAAGACCGTACGCATGACGTTTTTGGCATACATTCCAGTTGTCATCTGTTTAACAAAACACTGCGGGCTCATTGGTACGGTTTTAACGACAATGAATCGGAAATCAGTGACTTTCGAGTAGCAGTCGGTAGACAGCCCAACGCGACCGACGTCTTGCAGTTCCAAAAAGTTGGTTTGGTTACAGACGTTTATCTGCCTTTAACCAGCAGTACATTTGATGGCGACATCGTCTATGTGACAGTAGAGTCACGCAATTTGGCTGGTTTGGTAACGCGTAGTTCGTCACCTGCTACACGGCTAGTTGCTGCCGATAGCGACGAGTACATTAAGCAGGGAGATTTTTACTGTCTGAACGTTTAAGAAAAACTGATTATCGCTAAAATTTCTTATGCAACAAAACTGTAATGTAACTTCTTTTATCGTCTCAAAGATTTCTTGTGGGGACACTTAGGGTGATTTCCTTTAATTAATGGAAACTAGCTATTCACAACAGACTCAAGAAGGGTGATAATGCTATTTGATTGGTTTTTAGGCGAGCAAAAAGGGGTGGGGCGGGGTCTTCTAAGAATCAAAAACTTAAATTTTGAGATAGACCAACAATGCCTCTCTCTGCAGCGGAATTGTTTGATGAGATCTGGCCTGCTTTGTTAATTGGTTAGCTTTTGCTGAAGGTGTCTACCTCTAACCTTGAAGATTAGGTCGTTTTAGTTAGCAAAATAATTTAAGTACCGTAAAATTCCGAAAATAAGCCCCGGACTTATATTTTTCAAAGACCCTTTCTGAGGGGCTTATATTCTGAGGGCTTATCTACGGAGGGAAATTTGCGTTTCAAAATCGATTGGGCTAGCCTTGTAGTTGGAAGGAAATTTATCGTTTTGCTTTCTTTTACTTTGTAAAGTTGAGGGCAATTTCCAAGTACAAGCTCCCGGGGAGCTTATATTTGGAGGGGCGATTTAACGGTGGGCAACTAGCGTTACGTGTTTGGGGGGCTTATATTTGGAGAAACTTATACATGGAAGGGTTTATTTTCGGAATTTTACGGTAACCGGGGCGTTGATCCTCAATAGATTACAATGGTAGAGAACGTTTGAAAGACCCTGCGTTACTTTTTACAACCAAGCACTACATAGGGTGTACGGGTGAAAAATTCTCTCTTCTTGAACGTAGAAGATAACAAACTGTTTAACGAGGAGTCTGGACAAAGACTGATAGGGGAACCACTTCTCCTCATACTTTCCAGCTTCTCCCGCAACCCTCTCGTATGATATAATGTTTTTTGAAAGCATTTATTGCATTAAATGTCAAGTAAGTAGTAAACGGAAACGATTCTGGAGCTTTCGACATTTTATCGCCGTTGAAACGAACATATTTGGTATAGAAAGCTGCCTATGAATTTTCAAGCCTAGAAATAGAATAAAGAAAAAGCAGTCATGAATGTTTTGTGTTGACATAGGGTAAGATGACTCTTTCGATCTTAAGTGGGCTGCTGTACTCCTCGACTATGAACGAGGCCCCTAAACGTATGTGGTTATAGTTAGGCTTTCACAATTACTTATTTAGTATATTCAGCAAAAACTTAAACTTTTTTGTGTTTCTTTATATTTACTATGATGTCACGGCCAGTTCTTTTCACTTAATGTTTTTAAGTTTTCCTATATTTTGTTTTGTGTGGATCTGCGTGTAGAATAAAAAATTTAAAAAAAGTAAAAAAAAAAACCTCGTATGTTAAATGCTTTTCTGGTTGGCGACTTTTGAAGTATTACCACATTACAAGTATATAAAGCTGACAATATAAATGTGTTTAAGGTTCCTGTAATTAAAAATTGGAGATAGTTCTATCTTGCCTTCCCATCAACGACTCATTAGCTCTGTACATGGGTGCAAGTGAGCAATCTCGCAAGGGGAAGATACAGCAAAAAGACTAATAACATTTATAACACATTTCGTCCATGGAAACAGCTATAGGCTCTGGAGACAAGATATAATTCGAATGTTCCAAAGAAAGGAATCTCAGGGGTCTTTTAACTGTATCGTCACAGGTGAAATTATTTCTGGAAAAAAAAAGTCGGCATTCTTCTGGAAATGCAATCCAAAAAGGACACGTATTCCTCCGTAGGCTTGATTTCCACTGTCGTGTAATTTTTCCGTGCGAAAGCCGTAAAATTTATGTGCGTAAATGAAATAGAGGAAATATCAGTGAAAGGCCACGCGTGAACGTGCATGAGGTTCAACTTTTATTCAAGTGCGTACGCACGTAAACATTACACGACTGTGGATATCCACCTATATTCCTAAAATAAGTCTAAAATATCAAGGATGAAGCCACGCCCAAAGACTAAAACGCACCGTTTTCCTATTCTTGATTTAGGGGCGAGGGCCGGGAGTGCGGTCTTATTATAAATTCATTGCTCAAGATTGTTGTTAGGTAATAAGGGAAATTCACTCAGCGGCTCTTCAATTCTTTTTGTAAATTTTGCTACGATTTTGCCCGTAGTAAGAGAAAAAGAAAACCCTTACAAGCTCTCTATAACACATTGAAAACACATTTAAGGTGGCCCGAACCTATTTATATACGTGTTGGTTATGTTTTTGATTTGCGTTTTTCAGAATGAAAGATTCAACCAATTTCTTTGATTTTTGGCATCCTTAATAAATAATAAAAAGCTATCTTGCTCGGCACTAAAAAGTTGTTCACACTTGGTTCTCGGGAACCAGTGCCTAGATACCGGCACAAAATGGTTTTGAGTGCCGGATATGTAACTGTGTACATAGTTACTCCTTTTTCCTTCAGCAAACGACGTAATAGATGTATGTTAGATATTTTGACTCCACTACACAACATCAACAGACAAAACGTAATGGCAAATAAGTTTATTTTGGGACGGCTTGGCGAGAACCAACCCTACAAAGTACTTATGTAAATACAATAATAGGTGATTACTGGTGAATACCTAATGTACAACACTCGTAAACTAGCTTTCACAAAAAGAAAAAACTCGTGCTACAAATGGTCGCTCTTGACCTGAATCACCCAGTTAAGCACGCAGGCTTAGTGCCAGTTAGGCTGCCAGTTATTCTGGGGAAACTAATTAATAAAACTCTGACAACATATAGCTGGCACAGGGAACACGGTAGGAGCACAGAGGCTAAGCAAAAAGAAAAACTGCTATAACTGGTCGATCTCGACCTAAATCCCCCAAATAAGCACGCAGGCTTAGTGCCAGTTAGGCTGGGGAAACTAATTAATAAAACTCTGACAACGCATAACTGGCACAGGGAACACGGCAGGAGCACAGAGGCTAAGCAAAAGAGAGATCTGCTACAACTGGTCGATCTCGACCTGAGTCCCCCAAAGAAGCACACAGGCTTAGTGCCAGTTAGGCTGCCAGTTAGGCTGGGGAAATTTAATAAAACTCTGATCAACGGATAACTGGGACCGGGAACACTTCAGGAGCACAGAGGCTGAGTGCCGGGAAAACTGGGAATTACCTCCCCTAATGTACCCAACAAGGCACGTAGCCCAATAACCAGTAAGGCTTCCATAAAAGGCTAGGGCAGGACATTGAAATTAAACAAATGGAAAACGACCCTGGCTAGAAGTCTGTAACATTGCCTGCAACCTAACTGCATCAAACCAGACTTATGTCGCCTCCTAAAGAGCGGTTCCGGGACAGCTGACCTAGACATACATAGAAACTAAATATATCAAGTAAAGGAGCAGGTGCAAAACTGAGATAACTGTACAATTACATAAAATAAGAAACGGGAAAAAACTGAAAACTAGCAGAGCTGAGCTACCGCTTACAAACTGAAGTAAATGCGGTCAGACGGAGGCCAGAAAAAACCTGCCCAAAAAAACCCCAAAGGGAAAAAATGCGGGCAGGAAAACTGGGTAGGAACCAAGGTTCAAGCTCAAAGCCCTTCCTACGGGACTTAACAATGTCATCGAGAATATGTTGCTCCTAAAAATAAATAAAACAAAAATAAAGAAAAACCAGAGAGAGGGTGGTTAGTAAGCCTAGATGACGTACACGTGATATACGCAGCCTTATATACCCCCGATATGGCTACCCATGGTGCACCCGGCCTAGTACCCAGGCCCTGTTGTATCTCGTGCCGTCAAAATATTTATTTCTGTCTTCTTCGCGGGCTCATTCGTCAGAAATAACATATTTTGACTCCACTACACAACTTCAACAGACAAAACGTAAAGGCAAATAAGTTTATTTTGGGACGGCTTGGCGAGAACCAACCCTACAAAGTACATAGAGTGACAAAGTATCGGGCGAAATGACAAATGAAAGCTCCTAGAGCCCAAGAAACTGAAAGCCTTTTTTCCAGGTCATCATCGGTAGACGTCCTTGGCTAGAACGGACTTCCAGCGGCCGAGCCACTGAAACACACTGTCACTAACCCCATTATAAGCAGCGGAAGTGGCCCCTCTCGAGCGCAAGTAATAAAAAACCAAAAGTGGAAGGGTCAACCCCGAAACTACTCAGGTCCTTGCGAAAAGCCTCTATAATTGTGGTATAGCTGATAGGCTCGTCCTGGGAAACTAACTTAAAGGAGCTGTTCCCGCCAGACATGGGCCTAAAAATGAGATCCCTGGAGCTAGAGGGATGGAAAAATGGGCAAAGGTACAAGCAGGGCCAAACATTTCCGAAAAAATCACTCCGATTTATCGCCCTTACAAAGTTGGTCATTCCTGCTTTTGAGAACCTAAATGCTCATGCAACCCTCCTGAAAATATAATTCCCCCTAATTATGGAGACCTCATAAAACCAAAAATCCTTTTGGAAGCACACCTAGCCCCTTCAATAATCGGGTTATCCGTGGGAGAGGGGATACCCGCCATGGTATGAGCCCATTTACTACCGTAAACAGCCGAGTCTGAGACGCACGGGGAGTGCGACTCTTCAGTGAGGTGTTGCAAATACAAGGCAACATGGCAGGGACTGGCAGGACAGGCCAGGGAATGAAGCTTACTGGCAGCAAAACATTTTTACTTGCGAGAAGCACGAAGGTACACCGCTGTCGTACTAAGGGCCTTTGAGGAGAGAACCGTCGATTGCATTGTAGACTGTCTGTCAGCCTCAGTATTCAACCCACTGGTGGGAAATTCTGGGGCCCGCGCTAGAAACCAGAGCGGAACATATCTGACAAGTAATCGAAAATACAAGAAGAATATGTGAAAAGCACGAAATAAAAAAGAATTAAAAAAAAAAAAAAACGAGCTTAAAACACCGGAAAAGGGAAGTGAGAGGAGAGTGGGCGGGGGCTCAAAAACCTAATGGGTCCAAACCTAAAGGTACGCATAACACGCGTGTAGAGGCACAGGTAACACTTTCCGTCAGGCGGCG